GGAAGTAGATAGTAACTTCGTTATTTTGCATTTTTGGATTCTACGTGAAATTTCAGTTCTTTTGATACCCATATGTCATATCTGCCATTTATGGTTTTTAAGTTATTTTGACTTTAAGAAAAAAAAATGGCGGATGCAGATGGTAACTTGATAATTGATTACTTGAAAAAGGTTATAGTCATGGCAACCCATTTTTATCAGTGCATAGAGAATGAATAGGGCTTTCTTTTACTGTACTTAAAACAAAGTTAAGTTGCGTACAACCGCACCTATGGAGATCCAAATTTAAGAAACTTCAAAGTCTATAAACTCAGTTTTTTTAAATGGAATCATCATGTTCTTAATATTGCATGAGATAGAGAATCGAAATTGGCATATTTTGATATTACATGTTCCTATAGCTATCTTTAACAGTTTATGATTTATTCCCATTTCATTGAATTGATGCCATTTTTTTGCATTTTCATTTTAGTAGTTGGCCGTGATTTTATAACAATCGAATTTTAAACAAATCAAGAAAAGGATTCTTTAATATCATTGATTCCAGTCTAAATAATTCATTAATAAATAAGTCATTTATTAAGGATATAGGACGGATAATTTTTGAGAAATCTAGACAGTCGTTCAACTGAATTTCTTAAACAACGTATAAGTCTGGAAATTAAGAGAGGTAATGCGATATCTGTTCTAGCAACAATTCCATACCAAAAATGTTTCAACGAAGTTTTTTATATTTTGCATTGAATTTATTTTGTTAATCTTGCATTTGCAATTCAATTCATTTTCTTAAATATTCTCTTGTAGAGCTTTGTATAACTTGTGCTTCAACGGTTTGTAGTGCATTAGGGGAACAAAATTTCAAAAATTCATACAATTTCGTTCTAGTTTTCGAATGAATGTACGGAAAGCACGCGCCGCGATTCTGCCCATTTCACCATAAATAACAATTAAATTCCAAAATAGGTGAAACCACTGCGAGCCATTTTTCGATTTTTGAAAAACTTATGTTAACCTATAACAGTGGGTGATGGATTAGTGTCACTAGATTTGTTTAAAATTCAATTGTTATAGAATCATGGCCGACTACTAAAAAAGAAAATCCTAAAAAAATAGTGTCAATTCAATAAAATGGGAATAAGTCAGAAACTGTTAAAGATAGCTATAGGAACATGTATTGTCAAAATATGCCCATTTCGATTCTCTATCTCATGGAATAGTAAGAACATGGTCATTCCATTAAAAAAAACTGAGTTTTTAGTCTTTGAAGTTTCATAAATTTGGATATCCATAGGGGCGGGCGTACGCAACTTAACTTTTTTTTAAGTGCACTAAAAGAAAGCCCTATTCATTCTCTATGCACTGATAAAAATAGGTTGCCATGACTACAACCGTTTGCAAGTAATCAATTATCAAGGTACCATCTGCATCCGCACATTTTTTTTCTTAAAGTCAAAATAACTTAAAAACCAGAAATGGTAGATATCGACATATGGGTATCAAAAGAAGTGAAATTTCACGTAGAATCCAAAAAAGCAATAAAAAATAGGGGTTGCCATCTAAAATAACGAAGTTACTATCTACTTCCGGTGTTTCCGGAAGTGCGGCCATTTTGAAAATATTTTACATCGATTCGGCCTTCAGAGTAACCCCTAAGTACAAATTTTCAAAAACCTACCTATTTTACTTTCCCAGAAACTTTTAACTAAAGCTCCCAAAAAAACACCCTGTAGTAGGTTGCCTACTATTCGGGCGTTGAAATCATAGGGTTATTGCCGTGCCTTTTGGCATGTGATTATTCTGGCTGGGGTTCATATTAAAAAAGGGGAGGTCACTTGCTTGATTCAGGCGACCCTGAGTATTTGTATGTGTGGTCAATTTGCGTTTTGATAAATATAAGCTGTGATATTTTGGTTGTGTGTACATCTACCATATTAATTCATTCCTTGGGACCCATGTTAATAGAATTGTTATGCATATCTAGACATAAATAATTATTGTCAGGCTGAATAAATCGGAACTAGTCAATTGTATGGTGACTTTTAATTGGCAGTATCTATCTGGGTGTAGGGTTATTGGAAGCCTGAGTTGTCGTCGGAATTTTAGTACCATCTACGGGCCAGCTCCCGTCAGATCCAGCAGCGGTGTGTATTTATTAGAGCTGGTGGCGCCCACATTTTTCCGGTATTTCTTGTGTATTTAGGTTCAAGCCAACGAGGGACCCGACCCGTCTCCACTGGGCTAGAGAGGGTGCGCTGCGGACAACTTCAATAAGCAAAGACGACAATCAGGGGAAAAGAGGTAGGGTGCTAGAGCTAGTGTTATTTGATTCTGGTTCGGCTCGTAGCCAGTTGGCGTTGCAAGACTGCTTTATATATCACATATGACAGATATAATTGACATATAATAGGCAAATGAAAAATAAAAGATTTTATACTTGGGCGTAAAAATTAAGTGTTGTTTTATTTGCGCTAGAGCTAGATCAGAAGAGCCGCCTGCACATCTTTGCTTTAGGAACAGCCATGGAATCCACAATAATATCTGAAGGGTTTCGTAAATCCTTACAAATGCATGTTTTCATTTATGGGAAGGTAATTGGTGATGGCGACAGCAGTGTTTATCGGAAATGAATAGCGAGTTGCCCATATGGACCAAGATTTCTGATCGAAAAAGTAGAATGTCGAAATCACTTGCTTAGGAATTATATAAATACTCTCAGATCTATCAAAGGACACTAATTTCCCTGTAAGTATAAGAAAGCAGGTAACCTCAAGTGAAGTTTTAAGTAGGTACAGATATGCTGTTACAAAGGCTATATCCTTTAGGAAGAAGGAAGCAAAACCTTTAACCGAAAAGCAGGAATTACTTCGGAAGGATATTGTAAATGGTCCAAATCATATTTTTGGAGAGCACACTGAGTGCGATAAATACTTCTGTAAGGAACGAACAAAACGAGAGGTACTTCAACAAATAATGGTGTATAATGTAACATACCAACCTGATTCTTTTTTTTAAGAAAAACTTTGTGCCCCATTTAAAACTGGGCGGATTGTACGATGCAATAATGAACATCAATCGTCGTCTAGCACAAAACGTTTCCAGTTTACTCCACCACACCAACGCTGACGAAACTTTTAACTCCATAGTGGCAAAACTGGTAGGAGGTAAGAGAGATGAAACATTGTGTAAAATAGCTGTCCTATCATTTAACACTAAAGGAGACTATCTTTGCAGAAATGAGGAGGCACTGTTCGGCGATAGTTATCAGCCTCTATATCTGCATAGATATGACAATGCCAAGATACGAGCCGCTATATGTAAAGCCTCTACACGTAAAAACTAACAAATTAGTCAAGTAGGTAATTATAATAAAAAAACACTGCTTTTGCAGATCGAATTTCAAAATCTGTTTGTCACCGTTGACGAACACTATGGTGCTGAATACGAAAAAGAAAAAAATACCGGATTTAGATTTGGAAGGCTACACGGAGAAAGTTAACCAACTATTAGAAGAACTAAATTGTGCCGATCGACTTTCCAACAAACCATAAAGCAAAGTAATTGTGAAAAATGGAAACTTGAGTATTCGGTAATACAGTGTGTAAGTTAAAAGGATGTACATCTACAGCCAAAACGGTTGCTGCACTCCTTTATTCAATATTCCATGGCACACCCGCCACCCAGTTTGGACTTCTTCATGAAGCTAAGGCAATTTCACTGTTTGAACAACAGTTTGAGAAAAAAGTCCAGAGCAGTGGTTTGATTATCCACGAAGAACTCTCAATTCTTGCGTGTTCTCCGGATGGGTTGGTGGATGATCATGTGGTAATTGAGATAAAAAGTTCGGAAAAAAGCGGAAAGTTGTTGCCAAGGAGGCATTCGAAGGTGAAAAAATAGATTTTTATATGACACAGGTTAGTAAATGGTGCCTCAAAAGGAACCATAATTATTTTTATCAAGTACAGGGACAACTGCACATTTCCAACCGCAAACTTTGTTATTTATCGTGTACACCGAAGGAGGCATACATGTTGAAGAAATTCAAAGGTAAAATGGCCATTTTCATAGAGATTAACTGTAATTTACACCTTTTACTTGTACGGATGATTCGTTTTGGACGAACAAAAGCGTAAACAAACTAACGGAGTTTTACCATAACGCTTTAGTTCCAGAGTGAGTAGATTCACGAAGAAGCCGAAATCAAGAAATTCGGGAAATGTGTTGTCATAGTTAATTTTAGGCAAAATATTCTATTTTAAAATATGTACTTACTTTGTTTAGAATGTGCTGGAGTAATTTATTGTTCATGAATCTACCTAGTACCTATGTATAGGTGCATTAAATTTAAAAATATGTGCAAAAAATGTAAGTAATGACCAACACAAATATATAATAGCGAATAATAAGCTGGTGTTAATGACGACGAACAAAGTCCAAGGAGATTAATTCCATTGCAGATAACAATGAATAGCCTAATCTCTAAGCTTTGTTAGAAAAATAAATAGGATTAATTCACAATTGCCAGTTTATGACAATTTCGCCGGCTGGCGTATGGCGTAATTTAAGTTGCCTAACTGTGCTTTCAATTTGTGAAATACTTCATGACGTCATCAAAACATTTTTTTTTACTTAATTTAAGGGATGAAAAAAATATATCTATGTACAATCATACAATTGTGTTAGCTGGTTGTAAATCGCCAAAACCCATGTCTGTATGTTTTATACGGCGCCGTTATCTTAAAGGCAAGCTTGTATCAATTGTACTAGTTATTTCCAAAATTATGGCAAACATCAAAAATCTGTTTACGCACAATCATTCTGTTGGTTAATACCTACAATATTTGACCTCGGCCCTTTTTTTAAATACGATTATAAAATAAAAAATCTTAAAGAAATGATTCGCTGTTTTGCAGATAGTTCAACAATCACTGCAGAGCCGCCTTAAAGGAATTATAACCGATCACAAGAAGTAGGTCCGAGGAGTCGAGGAGTGCGCTTGGTAGAAATTAATTCCTTTCACCGAGACCTTTCATTAGAGTACCATGAAGAATAAATGCAGTGTCTCCCCCTCTCCCTAAATGATGAGAGAAGGACGCCAGTTTGTAGGAATTGGTTCCTTTCATTGGACCTTTAATTAGAGTACCATGAAAGATAAAACCAATTTCCTCCAAATTTCAAACCCCTACGACTTTTTTTTCGCAAATATGAGTAAAAAACGAAAAAAACAGTTTTTCTGGTTTTTCTTGGACAATTGGAGGTTATGTGAAGATAGTGCAGATACTAAAGTAAAGCCCCATTCAGGTAAGTGGTAGTGCGGTGCCGTTGTCTTGGTGTGCGGTGCGGATGTGGGTCGGTGCTGTCATTTTGACATCTGCATTCACAATCACCGCAAAATCGGTGCGCGTGCGGATTATTTTATTCTACAAAATTATGAACAATAAACAACAATAGCAGCAGCAAATCGTCAAAATCCATCAATTTAAATTAAATGCACAACCCACGCAAACACTATGAAGAGCTTATGTAATTAGCTGTGACAGATTGCCATGACAAACATGATGCGTTCCTATTGGTGCTTGCTACCGTAGTGTGCGGTGCAGTGTAGAAAGTTTGAAGTTGACATACTTTCGGCACGCGGCTGCAATTCGTCTGCACTGCACATGTCATTGTGAATTGTCATATGGGTATGCGTATTTCAAACTTTTATACAAAGGCACCGCACCGCAACAGCACTGCACTACCACCTATGTGAATGGGGCTTTACTCATTTTTTTAATCTCTATAACTTTTACATTGAACATTTTCGTCTAAAATTAATAGTTTTGCCACAGTTTGCAAAACACCACTTTCCACCCCTTTCAACCTTCGGGATTTCACCCGCGGAAAAATTCAGCTGTTTTAATTATTTTTACCCAATTACTATTCATTTCACCTGCCTGAAAAATCCGGTTTCGCCCGGTAACTAATTTTTTTTGAAAATAAATTTTAGAGCTATTTAGCCTGGACTAAACGTATTTCTACACAAGGCTACCCCAAAACGTGCTCCTAAGTGACAGGGATTAATACATCGAGCAATTGTACCAACCAATTGTAAAAAATCCAGTTAGTGCTTATTAACTCTGCAGTGTTATTGTGGTGTTTAATTATGTAATGCAAACTTAGTCTTAAACATACTGTGTATGGCCCTAGATCGGGTGTTTTTAATTATAAACAACAATTTCAACGGTTAGAAGTTCGTACACTCTGAATTCAAGTGTGTAAATGTAAGAGACTTGTTTTTTTTTGTGTGTGCTTTTTGATTAAATTTGTTTAGGTTAGATTTAGTTAGGGTCGGAGAGGATAGGATGCAAATTTAGATTTAAGCTGTTGGTAATTGTTTTTAAAAAGTTTGACACGTGTGTTTACAAACACAGTAAATTTTGAATCTCTTGTAATTTGGGCAAGCCAAATGTTTATTTGAAAAAAAATCGAATTCTTTTCGATGCGTAATTCGCTTGCATGTGACAGATTCCTTTAACTTCTTCAGTAGTGCCAAAATAAATTTTCTAAAACCAACCTGTGTGAACAAAATGTGTTAACTGACGAGAATTAATGAAATATTTACAATGCAACATCGCTACGACATTGAATCAAACAAAAGGATTAAATTTAATGTAATGCAAAACTTCTGTAGCCTATAAATTTATGAGAAACGCTACGGACTTATGTATTAAGTTTATACATACAATGGCACATTTGTTTGATATTATCTTTCACAATAACGAAGCAGATATATGATCACAAAAGGAATCATAGGGGATTAGGGTGACGATCCTTAGTGTAACAGTAAATTGCAATGTTACTACACTATCAAAACAAAGGAAAGATACTAAAAATAGTTACCACTTCTACCGTATGGAATACTTTTTGTACGAACCTGCACGTTAAGTTTAACGTTATTGATACATCACAGGGCTGAATGTCGCAAATTTCGAGATGGATTGCTTCGCTAATTAGTGGAAGAATTCTTTTAAATATTAACCCGTTGAAAATGATTACATTTAAATCAGTAAAGATAGGGAGAAGGTATTACAAAAATAAACCAATTAACGTCAATTACAATTCAGCAATCTCCACTTTATACGTACGCAAGGCCCACGCGCTATCGTAGTGATCTTTAAATAAAGGTGAAATGATTAAGCTGTACATTGCGAATGTAGTTGCTCACGGCTATCGGTGAGATCATAGAGGCGTTATAAGTGTAAAAGTGGATTTAATAGTGCTGGAAACAAGGAACCGCAACACTACCTAATAATCACCTGTACTTGGGGCATGATAAATGGGTATCACCATCGTATAAGTAAACAGCAAAGCTATTAATATTTATTAATTCCTTGCGGCAGGCTATATGAGCCAGTAATCTAAGCTCGACGGTTCTTGATTTACTATAAGGCTCCGTTACAAGATCCCTTAGCTTGTATTCGAGCACTTAGACTTACGTCTTGTGCGTACGGTGTGGTGTTACCTCTCGTCCTTTGTAATGAACATTTGAATTGGACGATTATAAACAACCCTATGAGTTCCTTATCGTTTATCAAATTTGCAACTGCGCCTTGTAAACGCTATTTCTTTGTTACTTTAAAATGTTTCTACATCAACGAGATGCAATATTTTTTGTACTAAAATTTTTGGTTCGTACCCAGGATGATGTATAAGCAAGGTTGTGGTACCTTACAATTACAATTAGGACACGATTATTACTACGCATAAGAAAATTATCCGAAATGTAATCAAACATTACGTATCCAAACCGTTATTTGACTCCTGCTTTCCTTTAATTTTGCCGATTAACCAAACACAATTAGAGAATTGATTCATCACTATTAGCACGTATTGAGAGTTATGTTTCTTGAGGTAAATTGCAAAATTTTAGCAATATCAAAATTCTTCGCTATGGTTGATATTATGTTTACAATTGGGGTGGTGTCTAAAAAGTAATAGTGAGAGAGTGAAAAACTCTTGTAGTTAAGGATCCGAGCGCGGCGCCGAACTAATGATATATATATAACACATTACGAAATAATTTTAAAAACATTGTTATCTCAGAGGGTCCACTAAATATGTTTGGTAATTTATGCCACGGCTAGTAATTTTCTTGGGCCTCAACAAAGGGTAGGTAAAAAAAATAAGACACGGTAAATTTGATTTATTAACGAAACTGTTCTTTATTTTCTTATGAACTGTACGCGCTGAAAGAAAAGTCGAAAATAAGCAGTTGCGCAAAAATGAGACAGGATTCCTGAAAAGGAAATAACATACCGTCCCAAATACAATAAATAAATAAATAACTCGGGAAGGAAGTGACTAACCCAAAAAAATTTTTGCCGTTTTGGTCTGGTCTGGGTTGTTGTAACGAGTAGGTAGAGTTGGTGCTGCGATTCCTCAAACTCGCCGCATAAACGGTCAACTAGCTCAAGGGTTAAACACAAAATATCAGTTTGAGAATCTTCCACAACGGTAGTTCGATCTGGGTAAAAAGACTTCGTTGCACTTACCAACAGTGGAGCGCCACTCAATTTCTAACTGAACTCTCCTCGTATGAAATTGGGAAAATACGAGGGTAGTAATAATGTTACCCAGTTCACCTTTTCCGTATTTCCGTAGGAAACGACGCTTGTGAAAAGTGCGGCTCCCTTGGCAGCTTAGAACATATATTTTTTGAGTGTAAGAGGTATAAAAATGAACGAAAGAAACTGTATACCCAATTGTTAATATAATAGCACCAACCCCATACAACATTACATCTCTTCTGGCAAGAAATGAGAAAACAGCATACGCATGCCTAATAAAGTTCTTAGTAAAAGCAAATATACGGCTTTAAAAAAATCATAAATAAATAACCACCATGGGACTGGCCGAATGACAAATAGTCCAAGCAGAAAAAAGTAACAATCAATTTAGATACGAAAAGAAATCCTGGTTTAGTGACACCAAATATCAAATCAAAAATAAACTCCACAATGGGATAGCGCAACACACAAATATTCAAAATTATAAGTTACGATACACACAAATCTGAATCCAGTTTAACATACCTATAATCAAGACTGCTCGATTACCAAACTAATTGGCACGTATAGGGCCAAGTACAAATAAAACATATAAAACTCTTACCTGGCATCAATAATGCTGACGCCAAGAAGTGAGCTCAGTTCTCGGATCCGAAAACCTGCAAACAAAAAAAAACCTCCCAAACCGCAGAGCTCGGTACACAATTAAATGACTAATGCTTGAAGGGCCTCGCTTTACTCGTGGTAACCTTCTATCACAGGTGCGGTACTTAATCGGTCAACCGCTACTCTCCCTTAAAAACTATACTCTCTTAAAAATAGTAAATCGACAGATATTTACGGTAT